TAGAACCATTGACCTAAGTTTCTTCTATACTCAAAACCCTCAAAAACTGAAATAATACATGTCTGTGGTTTTAAGGTGTTAAATTTTGGATACTTTATTATACTGCCATAGGCATTTATAATAGTCAATCAAATATAGCTAAATACTGAGTCTGTATGATGGGCTAAGAGCTGACTAAACCTTGTATCATTGACCTTTCATAGTAATCCTAGCTGGTGGTAATCACAGTATCTTCTTGATAGAGATAGATGAAAATATATAGTTTAAATTCTCCCTCTAATGATTTCACAATGAATAAAGGTGACAATGATGTTATCACTAAAATACAAAACAAACTTAGTGATACATGGTGACAATGATGTTATCACTAAAATACAAAACAAACTTAGTGATACATAGAATTATAAGCATACACTCTCCAAACACCAATAATTTCTGGAAGCTTATAACATACCAATTTGGATATTGTGCATTTTATATTAGAAAAAGGTAAGAAAACAAGATGAAGAACTGAGTCTATATTTGAGCAAAAAAGAAAATAAGAGCTACCTTGATAAAATCAGGGCATGGAAATTGAATGATGGTGACAGGTAGCTGGAATATAAGAATGTTTCATTTCCTCTATATGCTGAGTCATTTTTACTGATCCTAGAAAACCACAGTAATGAGAATACAATACAGAAACATGACTGTGTTACATTTTTGTTGTACATGGCAAGAACCTAAATTTAAAAGTTTCTTAGGTGCTGGAACACATTTTGCTAAAGATTGCTATAAGGAAAGCTTCACCTTCCTTATAATTGAAAGATCTGTCAGAAACCACATTTTTTTTGGGGGTAATGGTATAGTATGTGGTCAGAAGTGTTGCTTAACTCACAAAATGCATGAACGTACTCTTGTACCTTTATACATTAACTCAGAACATTAACAAGCAAAATAAAGCCATGCAAAGACATCGCTTGGCTACATGTTAATCCATTATACTCATAACTTTCCTAGGTGAGAGTTTGATGAAGAATAAAGTAATAAAAATTAAATTACAGTATAGAAAATACCCAAAAACAGTTAAAATTTGTAAATGTGGGGGAAAAAAGGTAATGTAATCACCATAACCATTTTCACACATCGAATTATCAAAGGACAAAGAAAAAGTGTAAGTGGTAAATCCAGACATTCTAAAATACCAGATCATTTTTTTTTTTTTTTTAGTTAAACAGGTGACTGGAAACCACTTCTACAACATCAGGTTATTGACCAGAGCAAATAGTGTGGTGAATGAGCAAAGCTGTCTTGACTTAGGAAGCTTACAAGGTTAGTGATCAATAATGAGTCAACTGAGGTGTTGGCAAATTACTATACTCCAGTCAAGTGCTACTGGAGTCCATCAAAATTTAGTCCAGTGAAAGAGCTAAAAAATCCTGTTAAAATTAGAATAGTCTTTTGAAGCAATGAACCTAGTTCACTGAACATTTATTGAACTAGCTGTTAGCTCACCTAGTTACAAAGAAGCATTGACTTCATTTGCTTTTATATTTTGTAATCTGTTTGTCCACAATTATATACAGAAAACTTATGAAATTGTACTACTGCAAGGTTTCTCACATTGTGGTTTCTACAGTCCCAGAAGTTTATCAACCTAGTCTCAGAGATTTATAGTTTTTCAGGCTTGAGAAATTCTCAATCATGCTCATTAAAAGGAAATGCTGAGTAATCTGTACTTTATAATAATTACTAAAAACTGAGTTTTCTGTGTGACAATATCCATGATTATCTTTGATAGCATTGTAGATTGCTAGATGTGAGGAATAGAAATCAGAATAGAATCTGAATAAATGGGAATAACAGCCCCTAAACAAATTTCAGTACCTCAGTTTTTCTTCTTTATGAGCAAGTCTTCCATTTTTCCAATATTTACAAATAAAATTGTCTCCTCGTCCATGACACATGCCCTCACAAAAACATTGTCATAAAGTAATTACATTCCCCTTTTAATTTGAAACAACTATAACCCTATTCTTGTAGAAAGTGCACCTTGATATTCTAACCTAGAATTGAAACTAGTGATAATTCCTGTGCCCCCAAAAGCAAAGCTTGAAACAAAGAGGTGACTGCAAGTAGTTTATTTGACCTTAAGAATCATAAAGATGAAAACCGAGTAGAGAGAAACAATACAAGAAAATATCCATTATCTAAAACTATACCATAGTCACCCTGGAGACTTCTGAGAGATAATCTACACCTGTGTGTAAACCAGACCTCCAACTTATTTTAACCAGAGAGAGCTTGGGTATATAGCCAAGCAATGCCTGGTACTGTGACTCATTGATAATAATACACAATAGGTTACTAACTATAGGTCTTGCCTAATATCAAGTATGTCTCTTTTGTCCCCCCAATAGTATAGGAGAAACTTCCCCCCAAAATTCATGATATATACAAATACATCATAAAGTGATATATGAAATGGACAGCTCTTAAAACTATGTTAGGAAAAAGGAATGTAACACAAAGCTTTTTAAACATTAAAATTCTTATATGTTAATATAAACTTATTTTGTAAAGATACTCAAATTAAAAGATACATTTAAATTCAACAAAATTTTTGCCTAGAGTTGAGATATATATATATATATATATAATCTCAGAATAATGAATTCAGAATGTTCTAAATTGAGTAGTAAGATTTAGACAAATTATAATACACTTGTCAGTAACAACACAAAGGAATAAGCATGAATGACAGTACTGAACTAAGAAGATGACAATTTTGAATCCTGTTGAATCCACAGGAACAAATGAAAAGAACCAAAAATTGTAAGTGAATATAATAAGCTTTATAAATAAATATGTATTTACTTTCCTTCTCTTGGCTTTGTTGAAGAAAGAGTTGTATTAAGTGATGCTTATAATGATGCACTTACATATATATTTATGTAAAACACATATACACATACAATAAGTCTTCAATATCATCACCAATAGGATCTGGGAAAATCCAACTGCAACTTAAAGCAAAACTACATACAAAAAAGCAGGGCCTCAAATAACACTTTTATAGTTGTTCAGGAGAGTAACATAATAAAATCACATTTGCTAACACTATATACATATAATGCAACTACATACACCTACATATACACATACATCGCTGTTTATATGTGTAAACACATATTTCACATACATATTGTGCTCATGTGTAAAATATGTAAGTATAAGAATGATTCTATAAAAGGATAAAATGAATAGTGATATGTAGGACCATCAATTGTTTTTTTACTAGGAATTTGTGTAAATTGAAAGTAATTTCTGACAAAATCTTAGAGCAATCACTAAGGCCATAATTCAAACTTATAGTAAAAAACCATTAATTAAAATACTTAATAGAAAATAATGTAATAAGGAATAAAAAAGGGGACTAGAACATATCCAGAAAACAAAATGTAAAACCCAACTATGTCAATGATAGTTTTAAATAGGGATGGATTTAAAAGTCCAAAGCCTGCATAACATTGTATGACTGAATACAGATCCAAAATATATGCTGTCTGTAAGAGACACATTTTAGTTTCAAAGATAAAATTAGATTTAAATAAATGAATATAAAAAGATGCAAATGCCAATTTTAACTTCTTACAGAGTGACTATATAATACCAGACAAAATAGACTTCAAAGCAGAAATGTTACTAAAGATAGAGACATGTTTTATAATAAGAAAAGGTGCAAACTACCAATAATATATAATAGTCAAAGATATATAAACTTACAGTTTTTGCTTCATGTACTTCAGGGCTGACAGATGAGGGCAGAAATATACAACTCAACAACAATAGTTGTTAAATACCTTAAATATCATGCTTTCAAAAATGGATATAAAAAGGAGGCAAAAAAGAACAAGGAAACAAAAATCTGGTAACTCTATAAACCAAATTGAACTAGCAGAAATCTATAGCAAGCTCCAACACGAGTAAAGTATAAATTATTTTTAAGTGCAGAAAGACCATCCATGATAGAACATATACTAGGACATACTAGCAGCCTTTGACCACAATGGAATGCTATTGAAATCAACAAAAATAAATTGACAACTTCAAAGCTATGTCAAAATAAAACACTCTTAAATGGCTAAAGGACAAAAGAAAAACATCCCAAAATAAGTACGTTATAAACAAGAGAAAATGACAACACAATATGCCAAAACTTCTGGGAGGCAGCTTAGGCAAAGTTTACATGGAAATTTGTAGCTGTAAAAACCTATTATTAACATACAGATCTCAAATCAGTAACTTACTTTTCCACATTAAGTATAGAAAGAACAAAATAAACACAAACACACAGGAGATAATTGCTGTTAAAGAATGCAATAGAGAATACAAAAATACAAAAATTTGTTCTTTGAAAATATCATCCAAATTGATATTTAGCTATATTAACCAAGAAAAATAGAGCATAGGTTAAAATTGTTAAAATCAGGACTGAAATAGAACTGTTTTTCCTGACCTTACAGGAAAAAATTTGTATTATAACGGGATACAGCGATTTAGACAACTGAAATAAATGCACAAATTCCTAGAAGCCACAAAATACTGCATCTTAAGAGCAAATGAAAACTAAAAAGCTAGAATTTTTAAAAACAAAAATACCAACAATGAAAACAACTCACAAAGAAAAAAACATTTCAAATTCATCATCACTCAATTTCAAATTGTCCAAATTACACATTACCCTAAAAAGCACCTTTTTCACAAAGACAAAATCCTGGTGGATAGGCGCATACCTAGAGGACCCAAGAGTTTTTCACAGGAGGTGGAGAAAACACTTCAGACCAGGTGAAACTCCTTTTTGCATTTAGATTCCCTAAGAGGTCTCAACTCCAAGGGGTCATATTTCTTAGCATTGTTCCAAAACACAAGGGATCACATGGTTCCCTCTTGTTTAAACAAAATAGTGTGACTTATTAAGAAGCTTCAACAAGCAAAACTCAGGTGTACGCAATAAAGTTGGAGAGCTCAAAACGCTAAATGCAGAGCTCAGATCCAAGAGAACTTACCCAACCTTAGGTAGGGGAAACAGCATCCAGTGAATGCTCACTGGTAGGAGAGGAATTGGAGATTTTCATTGGATCCCAGTTCTGATGCCAAAAACTGCAAATAAATAAATAAACAAACAAACAAACAAACAAATAAATAAATAAGTAAAACACAAAAATAGCAAAATAAAACCACCTAATAAATAATATTTAGTAAGGTTTACTGCACTATAAAAACAGATTGGAAGTTGTGGGTACCCAATTCAGACAGATAAGCAGCTCAGGGGCATGTTACAGAATGGATGACAAAGAGAAAACGAGGAAGTTGTTTAATTTTACAAAGTTTGGTTATTACAATAGAGGTTTCTAATCAGGAGAGAACTGGTTGAAACTGGTCTTTGTATGCTTTTTCTCGGAAGGTGATGTATATCACTTTATGATTATCAAAAGCATTTCATTGAAACAGCCCAAGTTCAGTTTCTCTCGTTTTGTAGAATAAGCTAAATTAAGCCACTTTCTATGGGTTAAATGGTTTACTCAGGGAATTTTGAAGACCATTTTGTTTTTAATTTTAATAGCACCTTGGACTAAATGGAAAAAAAATTGCATGAGAACATATAAACATACAGACACACACACAAAAAAACCACAAAGAATAACACAAGCACTCACGCTTTTCCTACAGGCCTGGTCTTCCTCCCCAGAGCTGCAAAGTGTTTACATGTTGTGCCAGGAGACATGTTTGTTCTGGAGGCTTCTGGGGAAGAGCAAACTCCCAACAGTTGTCTCTCTTTCTGACCCACACAACTGCCGTACCTTGTGTTGGGGGAGCGGGTCCCTTCACCAAGTTCAGCGGCATCTAGACAAGCTTTCCGCTGAACACCACGCAGGGTGCCAGTGTTTGCAGAGGTAGAACATGAGTCTTCACAGGAAGGCAAATAGGGTGCAACAAGAGTCCACAGGGCACACAGTGTGACTCTGGGTGAGGTCCTTGCAATGGGCAGAATCTGCAGAGCAATGGGGTGCCTCAGCAAACAGCAGAACCAAACCTGAGGGTCACAGCCACTCAGCCCTGAGGAAGCCTATCTCGCCAGATCTTGTGAGATTTATAAACCTGCAGTTCAATCCTGGAATGAGAAACACCTGAATACGCACATGTTGGCAGACTCTTGACCCAGACACATGTGTAAGGATTCAGGCACAAATGACCCACCTGGCAAACTCCAATTCTCATCAAAACCTAGCCCCGCTCCATCTTACTTAAAATCACAGTACAGAGATGATTTATCCCAGAATCCCAGTGAAGTGGGGGAGAGGGCTCTGACCCAAAGTCTGTGCAGAATTGTAGACCTTACTGCTTATGCTCTGGCCACTCAGCTAGTCTCCCACAAGCATAAAGGGTCTGAGGAAACGACGCTTGCATGGGGAGCCCCACACCAGACCCTACAAAATGTCTGCGAAGGCGTAGGTAAGACAAGAATATTTACCCTGTCCTCTCTTACACATCGGAAAGCAATCTAGATCTCCATTTATATGTAGAAAACATAGCCTTATACACAGAAAATCCTAATGAGTCTGCTGCAAACCTACCAGAATTAAATAAGTTCAACAGAGTTGTAGCTAAGAGATTAATACATATAAAATTGTGTTTCTATAGACTTGCAATGTGCAATCTGAAATAAATTTTAACAATTTTTATTTAAAATGGCCTAAAAAGAAAATAATTAGGAATAAATTACTGAAAAGATATACAAAATATGTACCCTAGAAACTAAAAATGACTCTTTAAATAATAAGAGTCAAATCAGAATCTTGTTTATGATTTGGGAGACAACATTATTAAGATGGCAAATCTAGAGGAAGTGATCTGCAGATTCAACTCAATCCCTATCAGAGTCCCAGGTGGCTATTTGAAGAAATTGACAATTCCTAAACTTCCATTTTTTTAAAAAGATCTGTTAACTTATGCATACAAAAGCTGGGGTACAGGCCAGAGATGCGGGGGTGGGGGGGTGAGAGGATTCACCAGAGACAGAGTGGGGAGCAGAACAGGCAGACTGACTGAAATACACTGCTGAGGGGAGCAGCGGGCGAGACAGGAGAGGTCTGCTTCGCCATGTGTGTTGCTTCCTGGCTGGCCAGGGATCGAACTCATGATGTATAGGCTGCGCATTGCTTCATAGTACAGTGTTTAACCCCTTGCACCACCAGGGATGCCCTAATTCCTAATATTCTTATGGAAACTTAAGGAGCCCTCCAAAAGAAATATAAGGACTTACACATCCCACTTTCAAAATTTACTATAAATCCACAGTTTTTGGTACTGTTTATAGAATAAATATGTAGCTCAATGGACTCAAATTGAGCATCACAAAATAAACCTATATTCGTGGTCTATTTATTTTCAAGAAGGATGCCAAGATCAGTTAATAGGGAAAGTATAAGTTTCAACAAAGGGTACTAAAGCATCTGTACACATAAAAAAAAAATAAAAAGAATTGCATTCCTACTTCACACTGTATACACAAATTAAATCAAAGTGGATCAAACCTAAATATAGAAAATACAACTACAAAATACTTAGAAGAAAACATGTGGATAAATATTTATGACCTAGGATTTTAAAATGTGTTCTTAGATATTACACAAAAACTACAAGCTAGCAAATTAAAAATACATATATTAGCTGCATTGCCTGAAAATTAAAAATGTTTCTATTCAAGGATAGTATCAAGGTGTGAAAAGACACCCACAGAATTGGAGAAAATATAAAATATATAACTGATAAGGGTCTAGTATCTATAATTATAAAGAAAACTTTATTCAATAATTAAAAGATAATTAAAAATGGGCATAACATCAAATAGACATTTCTCTAAAGAAGATATTCAAATGGCCAATTAGTACATGAAAATATGCTCAACATTAGACATCAGGGAAATGTAAATTTAAACCAGATTTTACTTCAACAAATTTTATTCCAATAAGGATAGTTATTTTGACTCCACTCGGATAGCTAACAATGAGGACAAGGATATAAAGAAATTGAAATTAGAATCATCATACACTGCTAGTGGGGATGTAAAATGGGGTAGCTACTTTGGAAAAGTGTGGCAGCAACTCTGACACTAAACATAAAATTACCATATGACCCAGTAATTCCACTCCTAGGGTCCCTATCCCAAAATGTGTTAACAAATGCTCACAAAAAAGTGTGTCATAAATGTTCATTTGTGCATTATATAGGGTAGCCAAAATTGGAAACAACACAAATATTCATCAACAGATAAACAGGAAAATAACTTCATACATTCTATATTGTTTGACTATAGAAATAAATGAACTATTAATGTATGCTATTAACATGAATTAAACTTGAGAAGTAGTAGTTAGGTGAAAAAAGTTTAATCACAAAAGACTACATATTCTATGATTACATTTTTATTAAATGTGCAGAAAAGACACATCTATAAAAACTGATATTGAGTTTGTGGTTGCCTGGGACTGATGTGGTGGGGTTACTGGGAAGTGACAGCTAACTTGTACATGGTCCCTTTAGGGCTGATGAATATGTTCTAAACTTGTGGTGATGATTGTACAACTCAATGACCATACTAAAAACCATGAAATTGTACAGTTAAAATGAGTGAATTGCTTGGTATGTTAATTACATTTCAATAAAGCTGTTTAAAAAAACAGAGGCTTTTTTTGCCTGAGGTTAACCTTTTCCTGAGCATGTCCTTTGCCAGCTTCAAGTATTTGACTGAACTTCAAATGTATTGCCCATGAAATGAAAATGCTATGAAATGAATATGTTCCATTATTAAAAATATAAAGTAGGATAAGAGGATTTGATAGAAGCTAATAATTTAATAAAGCATGTTATTTGAAGACTTATGAAAGCAACATTTATTTTCATAATTTCCCTATAAACACTACCATAGCTGTATTCCATGAACTTCAATTTATCTCATTTTTATTACTATTCAAATTAAAATATTTTCAATATCCATTGATACTTCTTTGAATAAGACTAAATTCCATTAGTATTCATGTTTATTCAGAATGATAAAATGTTTAGTTCTACAAGATGATATTGCAATCATATTGCAATTAAATGCAACTAATAATATAATTTCCAAATAGATTAAGAAAAAATGAAGTATAAAAATGTAAAGAATAATATAACAATATGATAACATTACTCAGTTACACAGAAAACAAGCAACACAAAATTTAGAATATAGAGGATTTAAATATGTTTCTGAATGAAAATCGAATACTCCAGGAACTTCCTGCAAGTGTGGTCTAATGGTTGCTAAATTGGTCTTTTCTAAAAGGTATCTTCTAATCCTTGAAGAAAGACTTTTTCATGAAACATCCTGAAATATTAAAATACATATATATATACATATCTATATATTTAATTCATGTTTATTTTCAGCATGTTTTTTCCATGTGAGTATAAAATACACAGGAGCCTGAAATTACCTCTAGAATATACTCTTAACTACAAATTGGTGGAAAAACAGGAAACATGAACAAATATGTCTTTTCTATTTCTTTCCTTAGTCACTGATAATTTTGTATTTTGAAAGGAACTGCATGCAAAACAACTCAATACACATTTTAAATATTTTGACTCTTATCAAATTTGGCCTTACAACACTCAAAAACATACTTTTTTGAAATGCAGAACAAGAAATATATGCAAGCAAATAAAGTGGATTAATTAGATAATTTTCCAGGGACTGTTTGAGTGTCTAGTGGAGAATCATTATCCAAAATAGCCTAGTCCAGTTTCTAGGCTGTTATTCCTCCCCAAAGACACAACTAATTTTGTAGAATATTTCAACATTCAATGGTCAAACTTTTTTTTCCCCCACTCACTTATCAAACTGTTATTTAGAACATTTGGCTCAACTGGTCATTATGATATTTGCATTAACAGGATGAAATAATAGCCTGTGTCAAATTAATTCTTGAATGGGTCAAATGAAACAAAATCAATAAATAGGACTTTTAGAGCAAATTTTCTAAATTTTTTTCTCCCCTACATCAAAGTAGACCATTAAATTTCAATTTATTTAATTATCTTTGACCTTGATTCCCTCTTTTATTTAATCATTCTGCAGAATTATCCTTGTGATCCCAAATTTATCTTTTAGATCAATGTCAAAACAAGGTTTAATAAAGGTTAATGTGAATAAATGTCCTGCTTTTATAGTTTTATTTTATTTAACATTTTAATTCCGAATTATTTTTATTTTAGATGTTGGGCATTTATGAGTTCCTTGGTGACTAGAAAATTGGGATTTTTTTTTCTAAACCTATCTTTCAGAAGATGGTATATACAAGGTTTAGAAAAAGTAATCCCTGCCCAAACTGAACTTGGACTATCCTCAATTCATGATTTCAAATGGCTTACCTACCATTCATATTGATTCCTTTCTCCTCTCAGCTAGCTAATCAAATCTCTTCATCTTGGTCCCTCAAAGTCTCAGGCTGGTGTTCATCATACTTCATTCTCTCCTATTGCGTTCTCTCTTTGAAAGTCTTCTTACCACTTCTTTCTTTACTTTCTAGTACCACTTGAAAGTTTTGAACATTTTTCCCTCTGCAGGAAAACATCATCCCAGTGCAATTATTTGGCAAAAAGTCTAACAAAGAATCCAAATGCTATAGCTCTAGGACTGAGTACTCTATTTCAACAAAAATGTTGCTTCTGTCAAAAAAAAAAAAAAAATGTTCTCTGACTGCAGTCTGCCTAGTGAGAATGTAAGTAACTCTTCTCCCAGATACTTGGGATTCTTTGGGCAGAAGGTAACATTGAATATGTCCAAAACCATGATTTTGAACCAGAAAATCCAAAATTTAATTCCCTATTCTATTGCATTTGTTTAATGAAAAAAATGACTTTCTGGAAAGTAAGTTGTGGCATGAATGCAGATAGAAAAGTGAAAACACTTTAATGATGTTCTTTTCATTAAAGAAGAAACCAGGAAGATGTCATATATATGGGCTGTGTGTGAATGTGTGTGTGTGTGTGTGTGCATGCACCAATAACATTGAAATGATTATATAAAGGGAAGCAAAGCTGGTTTTTCAATAGGATAGGAAGGAAGGGGAAATGCTGCTCTATAAGACAAGGTCACATGTATTAGTTACCTACAATTTGCAAAGTATTGGAGAACAGCTCAAAGACAACCAAAGGCTACCATCAGACAACCTCAATGGATGACCTCTAGATAGCACAGTTTTTCATTGAACTGCGTTCCCATCCCCCCCCCCGCCCGGTATTTACAGCAAATTACCAACTGTGGCTCAATTCCTTCATCTGTAAGATATGGATTTATTGTGAGAGTTATATACATGGTAATGCATAGATGGTGCTCGCTACATGGCTCAAACTCAGTGGGAATTTCCTCCTCTTCCCTAATATATATGAAAACATAACTTATGTTGCATACTCAAATCAAATATTTTATTGCTCCTTAACTATTCCCAGAATATAATACTGGAGAATTAATGTACTGAATGCAAATTTAAGGATCATTTACCTTTTTGTGCTCACTTTCAAGAGTTATTTGAGGCCTGCAAGAATTTAAGTGATTTACAAGATCTCTTATTTACCTGATAGTTGAACTTTATGCTCTGGTCTCTATTATGACATGCATTGCATTTAGCAAGATGAGGCCTTAATCATCACTTATAACCAAGGGTTATTCTTATCATTATTCTTCATGATTTATTTCATACTTTCAAATATTTGGCAATTATTAAGAAATTGTTTCTTTAATGACATGGGTGATATTTGAAAGTGAGTTTCTGCATATTCAATTGTAATTTGCTATTGTTGAAATTAATTTTGTTAATTTTAGAATACATTTAAATACTAAGTAAATGGATTTAAATTTTAAAAAGTCAATTTGACTGTAGATGGTAAACCTTGAAGTGTAATACTACTGTCTCCACTCCCAGTTTTTGTGCATAGGGCTTCATCAATATAACAATGTTTTTTTTTTTTTTTTTTTGCTGATCTTACAGCAATTTACTATTTTTCTTTGGCCTATATTTTCAGTGGATGCTTTGGAAAATTGCTAATTCACCAATTTACATTTATCTTTGAAAATAATATGCCTGGTTGCAAAATTTTAGCATATATTTTATAATCTAAGAAACCATCAAGTTGATGTTTAAAAGCAGGAGAAATTATCATATTAATTTAGGTTCTCTAATGATATACCATATGTCTTTGTTATAAAAGATCCATGGTCAAAAAATAACATGTAGTCAATATTAACAGCAAATATTGATTTTATTATTAACAATTTCATAGTATTCCCCTGAATACTATGAAATTGTATACAGTAACAGAATACAATAATAGAATATAATAAAAATACATGTTATTGTTTCAAAGATACCATTCAATGGCATGAAGGGGTGTAACTGGATAAACAAAATATTTCTGACAATGTGAAATTTTGCTGGAGCTATCTATGCTAGAAGGCAGTCAAGGTGAAAAAAAATCTCTCTGTTCTTCTAGAAATGACTTACTTCGAAGAATATCCTTCCCAATAAGACTTTCATAAAACTCATGGATGCCTCCCTTGTTTACCTATTACTAGCCTAGACACAGACCCAACTTTTCCTTAGAAATGATTAGCTGAGTCATTTGTTCCCACTCATCAATAGGAACACAATACTTAACAAACTTTAGTTAAAATTTCCTTTTCCTGGGTATCTGATTATTTGATTCATGTTCAGCCTGAGCCATCACAAAACTATTCTTGAATATAAACTGGTCCCAAGATAAAATTTTCTAAATGCATAATCTGATCATGCTAGTTGCTCATGCCATTTCTACAAACCTTGTTCAATGTATCCTTTTTTATCCTTCCATATTCCATATAAGAGAGCATCCATTTTCAGCCAATGCTTGAGATGATTTCAGTTCTTATAGTCAGACAATAAGGGTAACAGTAAAAAGAACATACTCTTTTGAATAAAGTATCTTCTTAAAAAGTCCAGATTGGGCCTCCCCGGTGGTGCAGCAGTTGAGCTCTGGGTTGCGAAGCTGCCCGCAGCCTCTGCAGCGGCGGTTCAATCCCCGGCTGCTCCCCTGCCACCGGAGGAGGGTCCCACATGGCGCGCAGACCTCTCCTGCCGCCCGCTGCTCCCCTCAGCAGTGTACTTCGGTCCTTCTGCCTGCTCTGCTCCCCACTCTGGCTCTGGTGAATTCTCTCACCCTCCCGCACTTCTGACTGTACCCAGTGCTTGTATAAATAAATAATAAATCTTAAAAAAAAAAAGTCCAGATTTTTTTTGTTTTGTTTGTTTTTATGTATATTTAGTAGACCACAATTACAAACATAGAGGAAAATTTGGATTCATGTCTCACTGCATCAAACATCCCTATCTTATCATTCTATAATTTCAGGGTTCTCATCATGTGACATATGATTTCTGGGTATTACTCAGTTCCTGAGATCTCTATGACTTATTGTTTGCCTGCATGGATATTTACTTAATTTCTGAATACAGTTAAGAACAAATGAATATCAGTTTCTAAAGCTCAGAAACGTCAGTTTCTGAAGTTTTTTTTTTTCTCATTTAGTTATTACTATGGATAATTTGTGTAGTCCTGCTTTTATTTTATTCAAGAGGTACAAGAATATTATTCTTGCTTAAAAACTTTCTTCCACAGCATAACTTAGTATTGGAAGTAATGTGATCAAAGGAGGGATGTCTGGAATCCTGAATTGATTCTTGAATCTCTCACTTTAATTTGTGTTATATTGGGATAAATCTATTAATTCATTTGATCCCTAATTATCTCATCTATACATAATGCTAATGCATATTCTGTCTACCTTAGTTGGCCTGATATATCATATATATATATATATATTTAACAAAATTGACATATCAAAGTGTTTTATAATTAGTAAAGCACTACATAGATGCCAAGGGTTATCATTCCTTTCATTCCAATTACCTTAATTAAGATCACTAATTCTAGTTGAATTTTCTTTCAGTGACCTCTAAGTGTAGTATTGCTTTTCTTTATTTCTTAATGTTTAATTGCATATCACTCTGGATTTCTTAGCTAGATACCAAATGATAGGCTTATCTATGGAGGAGACTGGTGAAAGTATCTTGGCGTCATCAGGTCAAAGATTTCTATGGTGAAGGCAAATTCATCTTGGAAGCTAACAAAATAAACCAATTGTTCAAAGAAAAGGGGGTTTGTACCAATAAAGATCTGAGAGCCAGGTAAGCTAGAGAGTCTGTGTTGACTGTTTCCTTATTGAGAAGTAGGGTTTGGGAGCCCTTTCAACAACTGGAAGAAGAAACAGGTGAATTAGAGTAAGAGTGTGCCAGAGATCACTAGTTTTATCCAAATATTACATGTGCAGTGATGTTGGGGCCAGGCTATTGATTTAGCCAATGGATTTGTGTGAAAGCTGTAACTGTGTCTCTTCAAAGCCAAAGCATTTAGACCCACTGTGGTTCCTCTATCCTTATCTTCCCACTGCATGGTAACTTTGGAGGCCATGTATTCTAGATAAAACATCCCTCCATCTATTGGTGGAAATAGTCTATGATGATGTTCATACACATGTAGCTAGGCCACCGAAGTTCAGGTTATTTTAATGCCATGGCATAACCTAGTCTACCATGCTTTTAAAGAAGAGGAAAAGTTAGTATTTGGATATTTTGAATTGGTGTAGCTTCTGACAATAATAATTATTCTTATTATTATTAAACCCACCATAATACAAAGGGTCTTAAAAAGGAACAGGAATAAAGTGGATACTTACTAAATGATAGCTCTGATGGTAAAGATGTTGATGTTGAAGATATTAGTGAAGAATTGGTATTATTCACTTGGAGATCTACAGCTGGACCTCAGAAGTCAACTGTGACCCTGGTATTTAGAAATCTCACTGGAAAAAATAGAGAATTCACCACTATTGGAGACCACTGGTCCATGGGTAAGAGATCAGTGACTCATGGCTGCTTCTTAACTCCCTACACAATAACCCACTGCTCCCTAGTATGTTCAGGATGACTTGCATGGGAAGTTCATGGACCAGTGTGCATGTTTGATCCTTTCTGCATATTTTTTCTTCTATAGAAAAAAAAATAATTCCATTCCTTAGTGAAAGTGCACAGGTTTTATGTCATAAGACTAAAGACCTATCTGATACTGGAATTTCTCCAATTATATGAATGAGTGATTTATCTATCAGTCTCAGCTAATTAAATAATTAAAATTATCATTTTCCTAGAAACATGACATTTATTTTTAATACCTTTTAGGAAATCCATTGCTTCATTAAAAAACAAAATTTTATAAAATCTCAAAAAATAGATTGTTGGGAGTTTCCCTACTGAAATAGGAGATTTCAGGTACCTCTGGAAATCTGATAACTTTGCAACATATATGGATTCCTTATAAACTATAAAGTGACCTATAAATAATTTATTTCTGAGTATAATAACCTACAAATGCATTCTTATTACATTCTATAAAAATAAATATCAAATAATTGCCAAATCAGAACATGGTATGTGTGCCTATATCAAAGTCAAGAGCATGTCAATTGG